CCGTAAGATTGCCTGCTGGAAATTGCAGTCTTAACCTGTACCCACAGAACCGTGAACTGGTCTTGCATTTGACACGAGCGATCCAGAAATGTTCACGAAAGAGCGTGCCTTTGGATATTCTACGAAAATCCGCAACACCTGAACGAACTACGATTTCTATTGCCAGTGCTGCAAAGTGAAACGAAATCAATCCATAAGAATACATGAAAGAATCGCGAGTTTTGGTTATCAATGTATCGCATAAGTACTCAATTGAATTTTGCCTACTTGCTGCCGCACAGATCAAAGGTGAGGATCCTAAAACTGATGTGTTGATATCGAACGTAATTGCAACCAAAACCACACTGGTAAGCTTTTCATGGGTATCCATCGTGGTATTCAAACTATTGGGTACTCGGATTTCATTGAGATGCCAACCTTCGTGCTTCGTATCAATTGATTATGTCTCAAATTGCCTTGCATGGGAAGCGCAACACATATAGCTGAAATGTTTATGATTTTGTCCGATCGTACCTACCTACCGACCCAATTCTTCACTATGATGACCAACTATCGCATACCACCTACGACAATATTGCGCTGGTCTATGCTTCTAGATGTTAACAATCGATGGCTCTCGTTTAGGTCCATTCTGACAAAATAACACGTCTACATCCGAAAATATGATTGTTTGTTACTCGTCGTTTAAGTAGTGCTCGGACCTTCTACCACGTCGCGCTAAGTACCGGACACGCTCTGCCACGAATGAATAAACTCTGTCGCTGGAACTGTGTCGTCGAATGGTCACAAACTGTGACCGGCTCGTAGCAGAGTCCTTTTGCGATTTCTCAGCGGATACGCATCCCTTCCCAAGTTACAATATACTTAGGTTGATGAGGCCTCCCTGTCGACCCACCCTCGAACGTGACAGCACGCACGCTTCGAGTGACAAGAGTGGCTGGAAGTTAAACGCAATGCAGAGAACGCTGTTCACGCACGCGTTGCAGCACGATTGGATGTTATCAGCGGCTACGGACCCGAGCACATCGAGATCCAGCAACTGATTCCCGAGCAGATCAAGATCCAGCAACTGATTCCCGAGCAGATCGAGATTCAGCAACTGAAGCCCGTTCGCAAGCTGAGCGTCTCCACTACCGATGTTATCGCACTGCGACGCCTGTGTCGTCGTTTCACCCAGCGCGGTCTGTTCAGTCATGACTCTCAGGTTACGGGTGCTGGCGATTCCGACAGATTCCACCAATGAGTTGGTGGCATCGTGCTGTACGGAAAGCGGAACATCGGCGGACGCGAGAGTTGAGGCGAGAATGCCGGCTACGATCAAAATTTTCGAGAACATTGGTCGATCGGAAAGTAAAGGAAGAGTTTGTCGTCAAAGAGGAGATTGGGGAATGAGCTTTCGATCAGCTGCTCTTGAGCTACAAGGACGACTAGCGCGGATCAATGGGGTTAAGAAAAGATATTAAAAAGCCCTGTAAACTATCATGCGTTTTAAGACGTTTCGGGCGACTGAAACTCTGAAGCTTACAGTTTTGGGAATAATGAGGGGTCGGTCGTTTTGAGAATAGTCAGGATTCGGTCGTTTTGAGAAAGCCGTGGCCTCAGGTCCCTTCGTCTTCATACAGCAAAGATAAGATTGTAGTCTTGAGACTGTAGAGCCATGTTGCCACACAGTCGTCTATGCCTGACTCAGGTTGAGACCAGGTTGGCAACTTGGCAGTAAGGAGCTTTGAGTCTGAGACTCTTTAAACGGTTGCAGTGGTGGCTTCGACCTGCGGCACGGGCAGTCAGACGTCAAGGCGACAGACCTCATTTTAAGTGTAAAGCTCAAAAATCCTCGATTACCTTGAAACCTCGTGCAATAACAAGATGGTTCGCATCAATCTCTCCAACGATTCCACGCAACTGTCCAACTGTCCATTTGTCCATTCACCACGTACTAACTGGTGGTAAAACCTGGCATGTGCACATCAAGCTTGTCTATCATTGTAAGCTATTGTGCGAGCGACTAGGCCAACGAAGTTTTTGAGAAGTTCCAACTACCAGTACCTTCGCCATTTGTAATACCGTAAGATTGCCTGCTGGAAATTGCAGTCTCAACCTGTACCCACAGAACCGTGAACTGGTCTTGCATTTGACACGAGCGATCCAGAAATGTTCACGAAAGAGCGTGCCTTTGGATATTCTACGAAAATCCGCAACACCTGAACGAACTACGATTTCTATTGCCAGTGCTGCAAAGTGAAACGAAATCAATCCATAAGAATACATGAAAGAATCGCGAGTTTTGGTTATCAATGTATCGCATAAGTACTCAATTGAATTTTGCCTACTTGCTGCCGCACAGATCAAAGGTGAGGATCCTAAAACTGATGTGTTGATATCGAACGTAATTGCAACCAAAACCACACTGGTAAGCTTTTCATGGGTATCCATCGTGGTATTCAAACTATTGGGTACTCGGATTTCATTGAGATGCCAACCTTCGTGCTTCGTATCAATTGATTATGTCTCAAATTGCCTTGCATGGGAAGCGCAACACATATAGCTGAAATGTTTATGATTTTGTCCGATCGTACCTACCTACCGACCCAATTCTTCACTATGATGACCAACTATCGCATACCACCTACGACAATATTGCGCTGGTCTATGCTTCTAGATGTTAACAATCGATGGCTCTCGTAAATTAGGTCCATTCTGACAAAATAACACGTCTACATCCGAAAATATGATTGTTTGTTTACTCGTCGTTTAAGTAGTGCTCGGACCTTCTACCACGTCGCGCTAAGTACCGGACACGCTCTGCCACGAATGAATAAACTCTGTCGCTGGAACTGTGTCGTCGAATGGTCACAAACTGTGACCGGCTCGTAGCAGAGTCCTTTTGCGATTTCTCAGCGGATACGCATCCCTTCCCAAGTTACAATATACTTAGGTTGATGAGGCCTCCCTGTCGACCCACCCTCGAACGTGACAGCACGCACGCTTCGAGTGACAAGAGTGGCTGGAAGTTAAACGCAATGCAGAGAACGCTGTTCACGCACGCGTTGCAGCACGATTGGATGTTATCAGCGGCTACGGACCCGAGCACATCGAGATCCAGCAACTGATTCCCGAGCAGATCAAGATCCAGCAACTGATTCCCGAGCAGATCGAGATTCAGCAACTGAAGCCCGTTCGCAAGCTGAGCGTCTCCACTACCGATGTTATCGCACTGCGACGCCTGTGTCGTCGTTTCACCCAGCGCGGTCTGTTCAGTCATGACTCTCAGGTTACGGGTGCTGGCGATTCCGACAGATTCCACCAATGAGTTGGTGGCATCGTGCTGTACGGAAAGCGGAACATCGGCGGACGCGAGAGTTGAGGCGAGAATGCCGGCTACGATCAAAATTTTCGAGAACATTGGTCGATCGGAAAGTAAAGGAAGAGTTTGTCGTCAAAGAGGAGATTGGGGAATGAGCTTTCGATCAGCTGCTCTTGAGCTACAAGGACGACTAGCGCGGATCAATGGGGTTAAGAAAAGATATTAAAAAGCCCTGTAAACTATCATGCGTTTTAAGACGTTTCGGGCGACTGAAACTCTGAAGCTTACAGTTTTGGGAATAATGAGGGGTCGGTCGTTTTGAGAATAGTCAGGATTCGGTCGTTTTGAGAAAGCCGTGGCCTCAGGTCCCTTCGTCTTCATACAGCAAAGATAAGATTGTAGTCTTGAGACTGTAGAGCCATGTTGCCACACAGTCGTCTATGCCTGACTCAGGTTGAGACCAGGTTGGCAACTTGGCAGTAAGGAGCTTTGAGTCTGAGACTCTTTAAACGGTTGCAGTGGTGGCTTCGACCTGCGGCACGGGCAGTCAGACGTCAAGGCGACAGACCTCATTTTAAGTGTAAAGCTCAAAAATCCTCGATTACCTTGAAACCTCGTGCAATAACAAGATGGTTCGCATCAATCTCTCCAACGATTCCACGCAACTGTCCAACTGTCCATTTGTCCATTCACCACGTACTAACTGGTGGTAAAACCTGGCATGTGCACATCAAGCTTGTCTATCATTGTAAGCTATTGTGCGAGCGACTAGGCCAATGAAGTTTTTGAGAAGTTCCAACTACCAGTACCTTCGCCATTTGTAATACCGTAAGATTGCCTGCTGGAAATTGCAGTCTCAACCTGTACACACAGAACCGTGAACTGGTCTTGCATTTGACACGAGCGATCCAGAAATGTTCACGAAAGAGCGTGCCTTTGGATATTCTACGAAAATCCGCAACACCTGAACGAACTACGATTTCTATTGCCAGTGCTGCAAAGTGAAACGAAATCAATCCATAAGAATACATGAAAGAATCGCGAGTTTTGGTTATCAATGTATCGCATAAGTACTCAATTGAATTTTGCCTACTTGCTGCCGCACAGATCAAAGGTGAGGATCCTAAAACTGATGTGTTGATATCGAACGTAATTGCAACCAAAACCACACTGGTAAGCTTTTCATGGGTATCCATCGTGGTATTCAAACTATTGGGTACTCGGATTTCATTGAGATGCCAACCTTCGTGCTTCGTATCAATTGATTATGTCTCAAATTGCCTTGCATGGGAAGCGCAACACATATAGCTGAAATGTTTATGATTTTGTCCGATCGTACCTACCTACCGACCCGATTCTTCACTATGATGACCAACTATCGCATACCACCTACGACAATATTGCGCTGGTCTATGCTTCTAGATGTTAACAATCGATGGCTCTCGTAGAAAAGCATTTAGGTCCATTCTGACAAAATAACACGTCTACATCCGAAAATATGATTGTTTGTTTACTCGTCGTTTAAGTAGTGCTCGGACCTTCTACCACGTCGCGCTAAGTACCGGACACGCTCTGCCACGAATGAATAAACTCTGTCGCTGGAACGGAAACTGTGTCGTCGAATGGTCACAAACTGTGACCGGCTCGTAGCAGAGTCCTTTTGCGATTTCTCAGCGGATACGCATCCCTTCCCAAGTTACAATATACTTAGGTTGATGAGGCCTCCCTGTCGACCCACCCTCGAACGTGACAGCACGCACGCTTCGAGTGACAAGAGTGGCTGGAAGTTAAACGCAATGCAGAGAACGCTGTTCACGCACGCGTTGCAGCACGATTGGATGTTATCAGCGGCTACGGACCCGAGCACATCGAGATCCAGCAACTGATTCCCGAGCAGATCAAGATCCAGCAACTGATTCCCGAGCAGATCGAGATTCAGCAACTGAAGCCCGTTCGCAAGCTGAGCGTCTCCGCTACCGATGTTATCGCACTGCGACGCCTGTGTCGTCGTTTCACCCAGCGCGGTCTGTTCAGTCATGACTCTCAGGTTACGGGTGCTGGCGATTCCGACAGATTCCACCAATGAGTTGGTGGCATCGTGCTGTACGGAAAGCGGAACATCGGCGGACGCGAGAGTTGAGGCGAGAATGCCGGCTACGATCAAAATTTTCGAGAACATTGGTCGATCGGAAAGTAAAGGAAGAGTTTGTCGTCAAAGAGGAGATTGGGGAATGAGCTTTCGATCAGCTGCTCTTGAGCTACAAGGACGACTAGCGCGGATCAATGGGGTTAAGAAAAGATATTAAAAAGCCCTGTAAACTATCATGCGTTTTAAGACGTTTCGGGCGACTGAAACTCTGAAGCTTACAGTTTTGGGAATAATGAGGGGTCGGTCGTTTTGAGAATAGTCAGGATTCGGTCGTTTTGAGAAAGCCGTGGCCTCAGGTCCCTTCGTCTTCATACAGCAAAGATAAGATTGTAGTCTTGAGACTGTAGAGCCATGTTGCCACACAGTCGTCTATGCCTGACTCAGGTTGAGACCAGGTTGGCAACTTGGCAGTAAGGAGCTTTGAGTCTGAGACTCTTTAAACGGTTGCAGTGGTGGCTTCGACCTGCGGCACGGGCAGTCAGACGTCAAGGCGACAGACCTCATTTTAAGTGTAAAGCTCAAAAATCCTCGATTACCTGGAAGCTCTCGTTCAATGACAAGATGGTTCGCAACAATCTCTCCAACGATTCCACGCAACTGTCCAACTGTCCACTTGTCCATTCACCACGTACTAGCTGGTGGTAAAACCTGGCATGTGCACATCAAGCTTGTCTATCATTGTAAGCTATTGTGCGAGCGACTAGGCCAATGAAGTTTTTGAGAAGTTCCAACTACCAGTACCTTTACCATTTGTAATACCGTGAGATTGCCTGCTGGAAATTGCAGTCTCAACCTGTACACACAGAACCGTGAACTGGTCTTGCATTTGACACGAGCGATCCAGAAATGTTCACGAAAGAGCGTACATTTGGGTATTCTACGAAAATCCGCAACACCTGAACGAACTACGATTTCTATTGCCAGTGCTGCAAAGTGAGACGAAATCAATGCACGCGAATAGATAAATTAGGAGGTTTTACACACATTGCCATCCCCTCATGGAGCTGTTTATAACAACTTTACGCCTCCCAAAAAGCTTCAATGCAGTTGGTACAGCATCCGCTGAGTCCCAGTTCTTATCAAATAGTCGAAAAATCATCCCGTCAGACCAATTTCTCACTCCTAATCATCACAACCGTTCCTGATAAATAATTTTGTCGAAGGCTGCGTTGACTTGGCTGCTGGTGCTTACTAAAAGCTGATTTAGACCATATTCCTTCACATACGAGGAGTGGAAGACAGATCTCGTTTAGATCCTTGCACATCAAACGAAACGGTGTAAACGAGTTCGAGACGGATACGATTCTTGAAGAGTGCAATAGCTCTCCTCATGTGTCAGTCGCCATTGGCCTCAGTTCAACGACTGCTACTGCAACACAGCCCCTTTGTCAAACTTATTCTAGGTGATGGATATCAGGAGCTGGTAGCTGTACTTACACGTCATGAAAATAGATGGTTCAGTCATATATTATTCCTGATATCTTCATGTAATGCTGTAACATTGCGCACTGACTATTGTAAGTCAACTAGCATAACTCTTTTGAAACCTGCAGCGCGCGTGTGTGATGGTCATAGATCTAATTAATAGCTTATCATCATTAGTTCCTACCATTAAAGCGTGGTGCCAGATGCTGCAGATCACCGTGACTTCTTTCGCGGTAGTTTTGTTGTCATTTTTATGTCGGCTTGGGTGACGTTCTAGATGTGTTCAGAAGTTGCTTGTAGAAGCGAGAACGCATTACTTCCACGTTACGACATGCTAATACTGCGTATCCACTCCGTGACAAGTCGGATAGGTCGCATTTGCAGCCGCCAATACGTGGTGATTATGCGTGAATTATTCATTCTTGACTTGCGACTTTCCCTTCTTCAGATTACACTGAAACATGGGCTGGAACTCTGAACTGCTTGTTAAAAGTCTCATTTCGGAACAGTTCCTCAGTACAACCGTCGTCCAATACAAGAACTCAAGACTTACGCATTCCGCGAAGACAACGTTGGACAGTTCTCAGCCACCATAGTTAGCTGTATAACGGTCGATAATCTCTTTCGGGAGATAATATTATGGAATTATCATGAAACTACCCTTTCATTTTATTTGTTATGGTTGCCTGAATCTCTGAGCTGCGAAATGCTTTTCAACTGCTATGTAAAGTGCACTTCGTATGGATATGGTGCTACGAAGTAGGCTCAAACAACTTTCAGATGTCTGCCGGATGATCACATCCGTCTCAGAAGCGTCGGTACCGTCGGAAGCGTCGGTACTGTCGGTACTGTCGGAAGCGTTGGTACCACCGTCAAGACATCAGGGACCACCGTTAGGATATCAGGGACCACCGTTAGGATGTCAGGGACCACCGATAGGATGTCAGGGACCACCGATAGGATATCAGGGACCACCGTCAATATATCTGGGACAACCGTCACTATGTCAGGGATTACCGTCACAACGTCAGGGATCACTACAGGTGGCTGTGTTGTATCAGTAGGAGGCTTTTCGGTGTCATACTTCTTCGAGGTCATTTTGGATTTGTAGACATCGTATGCGTCGTGAGTTGGGTAGGTCTTGTCACTTGACGGGACTTCAGTTTGGTAGTTGTAATCAACAGTCGTCTTAGATCCCTCAACAACAGGATCATAGTGCCCACCAGCGTTATGGTGATAGTATCCGGTAGTGCCATGCTGGTAGTATCCGGAAGCGTCATGCTGATTATGTTGGGAAACACCTTGCTTATAGTATCCGTCAGCACCATGCTGATAGTATCCGGTAGCGTCATGCTGATTATGTTGGGAAACACCTTGCTTATAGTATCCGTCAGCACCATGCTGATAGTATCCGGTAGCGTCATGTTGATTATGTTGGGAAACGCCTTGCTTATAGTTTTCGTCAGCACCATGTTTATGGTGTTCGGCATCGACATGCTGGTGGTGTCCGCCAGCGCCATACTGATAGTGTTCAGCAACGCCATGTGGATAGTATTGGTCAGAGCCGTGTTCGTAGTGACTGGTACCGCCGACTTTGTTAGCACCATGCTTTTGGGGTCCGGATGCACCGTCTTCAGAAGCGCTGTTCCTCTGGTGTCTGGCTGTGCCGTCTTCAGCAGCAGCATGCTTCCAATGTCCGCTAGCGTCATCTTTAGCAGCACCATGCTGGTAGTAGCTGTCATGCTGATAGTGGTCGGCACCGCCATTCTGATGGTGTTCGGCACCGCCATTCTGATGGTGTTCGGCAACGCCATGCTGAAAGAGTCCGTCATCGCCATATTGATTGTGTCCGTCACCGCCATCCTGGTGGTTTTCGGCAGCTCCATACTGATAGATTCCGTCATCGCCATGTTGATTGTATCCGTACGCGCCGTTCTCAAAGCGCCCGGCAACACCGTCTCTATCAGCGCCATGCTTTGGGTGTCCGGTAGCTCCGTCTCTATCAGCTCCATGCTGCTGGTGTCCGTCGGTGCCGACATCAGTAGCGCCATGCTCGTATTTCTTGTTAGCACCGTCTTTAGAAATGCCATGCTTTTGATGTCCCTCATTGCCGACATCGGCGTTGTCATGCTCGTATTTCTTGTAGGCACCGTCTTTAAGAGTGCCATGCCTCTGATGTCCGTCAATGCCGACATCAGCAGCGCCATGCTCGTATTTTTTGTTAGCACCTCTTTAGGAGCTCATCTTCTGTCCGTCAATGCCGACATTAGCAGCGCCATGCTCGTATTTGTTGTTATCACCGTCTGTAGAAGTGCCATGCTTCTGATGTCCCTCATTGCCATGTTCAGCATTGCCGTGCTCGTATTTGTTGTTAGCACCGTCTTTAGGAGTGCCAGGCTTCTGTCCGTCAATGCCGACATCAGCAGCGCCATGGTCGTACTTCTTGACAGCATCGTCTTCAGGATTGCCATGCTTCTGATGTCCCTCATTGCCGTGATCAGCATTGTCAAGCTTCTGGTGTACGGCGTTACCGTCTTTATCAGCGTCATGCTTCTGGTGTCCGTCAGTGTCGACTTTAGCAGCGCCATGGTCGTACTTCTTGACAGCATCGTCTTCAGGATTGCCATGCTTCTGATGTCCCTCATTGCCGTGTTTAGCATTGTCATGCTTCTGGTGTATGGCGTTACCGTCTTTATCAGCGCCATGCTTCTGGTGTCCGTCAGTGCCGACTTTAGTAGCACCATGATCGTACTTCTTGACAACACCGTCTTCAGAAGTACCATGCTTCTGGTTTCCAGCAGCCATGTCTTTATCAGAGCCATGCTTATGGTGTCCGTCTCCGTCGTCCTTAGCAACGCCATGTTGGTTGTGGTGGCCCATCATTTTGCCACCTTCCGTGGTTACTCCATAGTTGCCGGATCTCCCATCTTTAGTAATATGGTTTGTAATGTCGTAGCTGTCGTTTGTAGCGCTCTCCTTCTTCTTGCTGCCGAAGGTACCAGTGGTCGTGCCCGTGGTTGAGCTGCCATAGTGTTTGGAGGTAGCGCCGTCGCTCTTGTGGGTCGTGCTACCGTAGTTTCCCGTTGTAATTTCGCCAACTCTATCCGAAGCAACATCGCAGTTAACACCTAGCGGCATGTCAAGGGTCTTGTCGTACTTTGCTCCTTTGTTGCCGTACATCGCGATGGTCTCGGCTTCTGCAGCTAAAGTGTATCCCGTCTGAGGGAATGCACACCCCCACGTGTCGTCGACCACGAGGACGCACTGAGCGTCGACTGGGGCAACGCACACCGCTCCATTATAGGACAAAAGGTAGGGCTGGCAGTTGGTAGAAGCAATATCTCCAGCTTTGGGACAGCTCGTGCCGACGGGCGTCGCTCCGTCACCCGAGCAGGGCAAGCCGCGAGATTTTGGTAGCAAGTAGGTGGCATCATGCTGCACTGTAACCGGGACTTTGACTTCTGCGGACGCAATACCCGCAGCCAGAAGACCGGCTAGTGCTAAATTTCGTGAGGTCATCGGTCGATTCGAAAGGAAGGTCGATGTTGCCGCCAAAGAAGAAATTGGAGAATGAGCTTTAGATCGCGAGAGACAAAGCCAATTGT